TTTTTTTTTGGAGATCGGGTTGAAATGGCCGACTGGCGGCCATTTTGTTTTAAAGAATTCAGTTCTGGATCCGTATCTGAGACATGCTTGGATTGATCGAGTTCAAACTTCACACACACAAGGTACATCATGTCACAAATATGTATGTGCATTTGTTTCATGATCTCATTAACGATAGCCAAATGGCGGCCGCTTTAAGGCCGAAAATGCATTGAAATCGCACATTTTCACCATTCCGGACCCGGATGTCAGTTATGCATGGACGGATTTCATTCAAATTTGGTACATACATTAAACATAATAGGACCTTGATGCACGTCATTTTTTTTTCGGATCAAGTTCGAAATAGCCGACTGGCGGCCATTTTGTTAAAGAATTCAGTTGTGGATCCGTATCCAAGACATGTCTGGATTGATCAAACTTCACACACACATGGTACATCATGTCACAAATAGATATGTGCATTTGTTTCATGATCTGCTTAACAATAGCGGAATGATGGCCATTTTAAGGCCGAAAATGCATCAAAATCACATATTTTCACAATTCCAGAACCGGATCTCAGTCATGCATGGATGGATTTTGTTCAGATTTAGCACAATGTGTTGTACATATGCAGGTGCATTTCGGTCATGATCTGCTTTGAATGTATATGTCACTCAAATATGAACGGAACGGGGACGTGTCATTGACAATGACTTGTTTACATTATGATTCTCATTATTACATCATGCAGAACTTTTTATTTTTACCAACTCTACTTCTAAAAAAACACTGTTCCCGCAATTGAATATTCAATAGTTTACCTTTTCAATCAGTTTTCCCAGTGAATTAATTACTGTATTTGTCCATATTTGCTATTTTTGTCCAAATCTTAAAGTGCAGACTATTGATGAAATTTTCAATTTTTTTTTTATCAAAAGCTAAAAGCAATGTCACATTTTGTCTGTTCGGTCTAAAATAAAGATTGCATTTAGTGAAAATTACAAAACATTTGAACAAACTACCCCATTTTGAGCGGGAAAACAACTTGGCACTCAATAGGTAAATATTCAGTGCAGTGCATCTATATGTACAAAAATGTACATGTCAATTTCTTCCAAAGTTTTCTAAGCAAACTTTTCTTGACATTACTAATAAAAATTCTGCTTCTGTCAATATGCATAAATCAGGATGAAAAATTGAGTGACTATGAATTATTTCAAAATTCCAGTATATGATTTTAATTTTTGTGCAATCATGTTATACCTCATGCATGTAGTATTCCTTTTAGCAGTTAATTATCTCGCTAGTGTGTGGTAATAACCTGAAGGGGAAATAAGATTGAGTCACATCAACTGTACTCTGTACGAGGCTTAGCACAATACCTACTATTAAGAATAAAATGAAGTTATCAATCACATTCCCGACTGTGTTGATTGCCACATAGCTAACAAATGAAGCCTATTTGTCGTCAGTATCATAGTACCTAATATTTGTTATCGCTAACATCAGCATGGTGCACATATTAGCTTCGTTAACGCTGCTTTATGATGTAGACTTGGCTGTTGTGTTTTTTTGTAGTGAGTCACAAGAAGAAAGAGAATTAAAAATATACTCATGACCCTAAATAAATGGGATCTCACTTTAATATTGATGGTTTAGTACACAGAATTTTAGGGTTCACACAATATTTTGCTTTTTACTGATGATTGGCTTTGTAGAAAAAACCTGTTTTGAAAAAGTTTAATTTTGCAGAATTCTATTCATTTGTTCAATTTTTATAGTTTCTTAGTTTATTTTTAAAATTAGATTTGTTTCTGTTGTCATTATTTATTTAATTTTTGACTCCCGTGTACGAAGCACAAAAGGGAGTCTTTGCAGCTACCCTGTCTGTATGTCTGTCTGTATGTCTATACATATACATGTATGTCTGTATGAATGTATGTATGTCACTTTTTTTGTTCCACCGTTTTCTCAAGAACCACTAATCAAATTTCAATGCTACATAGATGCTCTGGGTCAATGCGCAGATTTGATTAGGTTTTGGTAAAAAACTATGCATATTAACTACCTTATTTGCATGATAATCAGCTAATTTTTAGCTGTTTCATGACCTTTCCACTGATATCTAAAGTACCAGTCATTGGATTTTGATGAAACTTCGTACATAAATGCTCTGAGCTAATGTGTAGATTTTATTAGTTTTAGGTAAAAATATTTGCATATTAATTAGCTAATTTGCATAATGATAAGTCAATTTTTAGCTTTTCCAAGTACTAATTATCATATTTCAATGAAACTTGGCACATAGATGTCATAGGACACTGCACAGACCTGATAGTTTTCAGGGTAATATCAGTACATATTAATTACCTAATTTGCATAATTAATTATTTTTCAACTTTTGATATCTCAAGTAGTAATCATCACATTCCAATGAAACTTTGAACATAGATACTAAAGGACTATGCAGAGATCCATTGTGTAGGAGTAAATATTTGTGCATATTAATCACCTAATTTGCATAATTAGATAATTTTCAGCTTTTCCACTGATATCTCAACTACTAATCATCACATTTCAATGAAACTTGGTACAAACTTTAAGATACTCTAGACTATACAGAGATTGACTGTTTTGGATTAAATATTTGTGTATATTAATCACTTAATTTGCATAATTAGTTGAATCATCACATTTCAATGAAACTTGGGACATAGATCCTGTAGGACTATGCAGAGACCTGATTTAGTTTTGCGGTAAATAATTATCTAATTTGCATAACTAACCAATTTTCAACTTTACTGATATCTCAAATACTAATCATCACATCTCAATAACATTTGGTACATAAATGCTCTAAGACAATAGACACCCCTGATTAATTTGGCATTAAAATCTATACATATTAATTACCTAATTTGCATAATTAAATCAATTTTAAGCTTTCATACTAATATCTACAGTACTAATTATTCAACTTCAATGAAACTTGGTACATTGATGCTTTAGGTCAATGTGCAAACCAGATTAGTTTTGGGTTAAAATCTATTATTTCCATAATTAGCATAATAATTTATAATTTTTTAGTTCTAATCACATTTCAATGAAACTTGTACCAAGTAGGTGGATGCTACATTGTCTCTTGTCTCTAATACTCTCAGCACACAGGAGTTCTTTCTAAGCTTTCGTTGATTCCACTCTTTTAATTTCTAATCAATTGTTTTTAATTTTGATAATGAGATATTTGTTTCATTTAACAGATAAGAATGGTTTATATTTTTTAATATTAAATCAAGTTTTTTAAACCATTTACTTTTAATAATTTTCAAGCAGGGGAGTCGTCACTTGTGCATGCAGCAAATGGCCATAGGGTGTCGTTGTTTACAAACAAGCGTCTACCCATAAGCCTTTGCGTTTTTAGCAAGCATTGTTATCACTGCTTGGAACTCAATTTTTCGTGCATGCGCATGTGACAAACCCTTCACTTTAACAAATTTTTAATGTGCTTTTTCAACTGATTCATATAAAGTTTAGAAATGTTTTTTTTTTTTCTGGATTTGAATAAAAACAAATTGTGTGCATCAGTATGATCAGCTAATGTCATATCCAATCAAAAAACATCATCGAAGGTCACATGATACACTAATCTTCTTTTGATTGGTAGCTGCTGCTTCCCTGGGTGGACCTGATGATCCAGTGTATGATGAAGTATATCAACACAATAGTTTCTGTGCTGATAGAAGTGATTATTTTATTGGTAGAAAGAATCTAGTGGAAACTGTTATGCAATATCTTTCACAATTACATGGGAATTTAGTAAGTTGAATTTTTTTGGCTTCTAATTTGTTGATTGCCATGATGATATTAATATGGCAATATGGGACGGATACGTTAACAGGATTGTTTTATTCCCTCCTATATTTGTCCAGTCTAGTTTTTAAGTCAATACAACTGTTCTGTGCGAAGTAATTGTTCTATGCAATTTCATGAAGTACTGTTGGTCACGTGACAAATTCAGCAGGGCGGTTTACTGAGCATATAGTTTCATCATTCATTATATATGAAGATAAAAGCAAATTTCCCAGTCTGTGCTGCCCCAGGTGGGATTTGTAGCTGATATTTATGATTATCAACTAGTTAATCCATCTTTTTTGTTTTTTACTGCATTACGGTTTCCTTCTTACTCCCACTTCTCATCTCCCGTAGTTATTTATTAATGGAACTCGTAACTCATTATTCCGTTGATGTAATGTGCTCTGATTTTATTTTTGCTTTTTTTAGAACTTGATGATGCAATTATTAGCTCATTTACATCTTTTCTCCATTTTCCATCCCTTTCCTTTCTTTGTTACTTTTATTTTTATAATTGTTTCTTTTAGTCTATTATAAGAACTATTTTTATTACTTTATATGTATAAAAAATGTATTGTAAATGATTTGCTGCATGGAATTTCACAATTTGATTATATAATAGCGTTTGTGTGGTGAAGGTATTTAGTGTATTTAGTGGTCCCAGTGAAATGATCAATGTGACTCCCTAGGACACCAGTGAAATGTTCATTGTGACTCCCTAGGATCCCAGTGAAATGTTCATTGTGACTCCCTAGGATCCCAGTGAAATGTTCATTGTGACTCTCTAGGACCCCAGTGAAATGTTCATTGGAACTTCCTAGGACCACAGTGAAATGTCCAATTTACAACATTTTGTGATTTTACCTGACTCCTGAAATACACTTTAGCCGTTTGCTGCCATTCCTTGTATCAGAGTAGGAAAATTAATTCAATAATCCATTTATTTCTGTCCCATTGTTCACTTTTAGCCATTTGTCATACATGGTATCAGTGGAAGCGGAAAAACATCTATTATTGCGAAAACTTTCACGTCATCTCTGCAGAATTGGGAATCAAACGACACTGGCAGGTAGTTGCTGAATTCTTATTGATTGACGTATGATCTGTTATTAATTACATATTTTATATGCAGTGTTCCAACAATACTCATATACTGTAAATGTGTTAATTATTCACTGGGTTAATTTCACTTTTTTCGCTGATAAGTAAAATCCGTTGAACAAAAATCAAATCGATGTGATCATGTAGAATAATAATAAAACTCATTGTTTCCTTGACAAAATCGTGAAATAAAAACACAGTGAATATGCTCAAACCATCAAAATAGTGAAATTAAATGTCAATGAAAATAAATGGTTTTACAGTAAATCATGAAAATGATCAAGGTAAATGCATGGAATAAAATTGTGTTTTTTCTTGTTTGCCTGATTATATGAACATGCAAATTTTGAATATTTATCTAGTATTAAGGGTGTCAGAAATATGTATATGGAAAACTTATTAAACCTCTTCTTTTAAAGGACAGTGATCGTCACGCCAACCATGTGTCAGATTTTTGTTGATAAGCCACCATTCTCTACTGACAATTCAATAGTACAGGCAACTATGTGTGTTAGTTTTGATTAAGGCAAATTGAACATCATGCTCATGTCGTTTAGGAAACATTCAGCGGATTGTAATGTACATGTACCTCTGAAACCTTGGTGTCATATCTTTTCTTGTACATTCTGTGAAACACCAACTTGTATCAGAGGATTGTACGCATTGTATTGTGAGAAAAGGATTCATAACTGGGGCATGTACTGCACAATGACTACTGTCCACTCACTCAGCCCTTCTATTGTACGAAAGACGGACACATGCCTACTAGGTTTCAGTATATAGCATTTTATGAGTCAATATAAGAGTTAATTTCAACCAGCTTCCTGTTAGGTTTCAAAATATTAAGATATATTGTTGTTACTTTTATCTGTATAAATCATGGTTAAACTGTGATTTGTCAAAACAGTTAAAGGCATACACCACCTATATCATGTATCGGTACTATCATAGTCATTTTCTCAAAATATTTTTCTCCTCATACAGAGTGAAAGTATGACAAAGTCTGATTTTTTTCAAATTATTTAAAATTAACCCCTCTCTAAATGAAGATATTTCTTTTGTCATACACATATTTTAATTATCGCAAAATGGCACTGAAAATAAAAAACTTAAATTGGAAATATCTGAAATTTTTTTTGTTAACATTTGTCAACAACTCATTTCAATATTTCTTTGAAAAATAGGAGTATATTTCAGTCTTACTTGAGTCTCTTGATAGTCACAAAATGATATTTTGTTTGTTTATTGCAAAGCAAAAGGCCATTGGTCCAAAGAGCAAATATAATTTCATTTAATTATATTAAGTTTATAAAATGATAATGGTGAAATATATTCAAAATCTGCTTTTCATGGGGAAATAAACAAAACTAGCTGACTGGTTTAAAGTTTTAAACTCATAAATGGGATATATTGGTTGTAAAAGTGGTGTTAGTGCAAAACCACACAAGCAAAAATTCTTTTCTAATATGGTGATATTCGTTCTCAATATAAAATTTATTGCGTTCAATACAGTATTCACAAAATCTATTATCCAGGGAGACATTTTTATGTCTTTTTTTTTCAAAATGCAAATTGAGAGATGAACAATATAACCTAGATAACGCAGCTCCAAATTTGAAAACAACATGCTATGATTTAAAACTTAACACTATCACACATTTTCTTTAAACAAGGACAAGCCTGTTTTGGGTTCTGTGTGTTAGACATTAATTCATGGTTACCAGGGACTGATTTTGTTCAAACTTAGTATAAAAGCAAGACATGATGGTATGCATAATGCATTTTGATTTTTTTCTTTTCATTTCAAAGACCTTTGATCAAGTGCATGCCAGTCATTTTGTCTCTTGTTTCAACATACCATTATTGAATTGTTTCTTCCTTGCCTGGCTAATTTTATAAATTTCAACTGGTATTCATATCACTCATTTGGTGGCTTATAATTTTATATTTAAATGTACATAAATTTGTTTTGTTCTTATGTGTCAAAACTGTTTTTTTCAGGTACCCTTTTACCTGGTTCTGGATTTGATGAAATTTAACAAACTTCCAGCCATTTATTAGTTTGATTATATTTTTACTCACCTTCCCCCACTCCTCCATTTCTCGGACATACTAATAATCTATTAAAATTTGGTACATCAAGCTAGACATACTTGGATCTAATGGAACTTTCAGATGTTTGACAATTTTTTTTAATGAAATTTCTTCGATATTCTTCTCCTTATGTGTCCTCAATTGTCAATTCACCCTGATTCAAACAGGGACTGTGACTTATTCTGCACCATTTACTTATTTTCAGACCAGTTCACATTGTACGATTCCTTGGGACAAGTCCAGCCTCTAGTAATGTACGTGATCTGTTACACAGTATATGTAAACAGGTGACTATATATGTTTATTCACAAATCAACATAATAATTCTCTTCAAAGCTTAACAACATCAAAATGGTTTTGTTTTCAATTTTTTGTTTTGTTTCTATTTATTAACTTATTTTGGTGGGAATGAACTGTTTTTATTTATTGAATTCAACAAAAAAATTGCAATTCTTAAAATGCAAATAAAATTAGTTTGTGAACATGGTGAACAGAATTAGAAATATTGGGTGGGGGGGGGGCTATCATAATCAATTCCTCCCTTTTTGTTGGAAACCACTTTTGGGAAATCATGCCGGTTAATATAACCTAACCCAGCTTTGGAACAGGGCACGAAACTAAAATTGTCACAAAACATTTTTAAACCAGCAGCGTTAATTTCTGAACACTTGTTGAATGTAGCTGGATTGTATTTAAGCATTTTTTACAATTAATGTTGTCAATCTCCTCAAGATTGAAGTCTGTATGAAATCTCTTTTCATGTCTTTTGGCTTGTATTTATATTTTAACCATGTTCCATTATATTATTTTCCCCGTCTTTTTTAATTATACAGTTATGCTATATTCATGGACTTGATGTTTCTTCTGTGCCTTATGATTATGATAAATTGTGTAATAAATTTATGGAGCTGATAATGATGGCGTCATCAGACATTCCACTCAGTGAGTAGACCATATTGATTGTCTCTTGTGACTTTTGACAAATATTGTACCGTACTGTTAACAAAATGTAGGCTGGTCACATATGTAAGCTTACTTTGAGCCACTTCCCTCATGTAATGAAATACCGCCAAAAAACCAAAAAATATTTTCACTGATTTTATTTTTTGCTTTGTACTCCTTCAGTGAAAATAAAGCATTGTACAATATCTCTTTCAATGTTAATTGGTTGTTCTGTAATTAATTAATTTATTTAACACTCTTGTTGCTTTTCATAAAATAAAGCACATCATATGTTCCATATTTTTTTCAAAAATGTTTATTCAGTCCAAAAGTTAATGAAGATACATTGTACTCATAAAGAAAATTGCAAAATATTGTACCAAGATTTTGGCTGAGTAAAATTATGACCTGGAACGGGTTAATTTATTTTTTAAGACAAATATGTTATGCAAGATGGACTTGTAGGAAAATATCGTACCATACCAATACCCCCCCCCCCTCCCGTATAATTTTGACATTGCCCTTACTAACTATGATTACTGTAATTGGTTGAATTCCCCTCACAACACGTCAGTTACACGTTCTATTTCTAGCGCCTTGTGTTTGCCTACTAACTGTATAACACAGGTAAACACTTTAGATTTAGCCTTCCTTTGATAACATATGTGAACAACAGTTTCAGGCTTTGTGTAGTGTATTATTACGCTTAATCAAGAATTTCTAATTTATTCATATAACTACCTCAGTTTACAGGGATACATGAATAACATAATTACAAAAGAATATTATCACCTATGAAATCAAGAAGATAACATTTTTCTGTATCTATTCTGGCGTCCATAGTTAGGCCAAAAATAACAACAACTTATGTTGCCCTTAAGTCGGAAAACTTCGAAATTGGGTCAGTCGGAGTATCGTAAACAGCCAAGTTATATGGACTTCATCATGACTTCGGAACATGTCAGTAAAAATACAGACCAACCCGAGGTTCAAAGTCGCCACTTACAGGAATTCTGGGGATCAAACAACGGTCCGGGATCCTTAATTTTTAGAGATAACACTTTTTTATATTTAAGCCTATTTAAAAAAAAAAAAACAAAAAAACCTCGACCTGTAGGTCGCTGAGGGCAACAAAAAATTTCTTTTTTTTGTTCTTATGATAATAGTGCCCTTAGGGTCAGACATGCTTTTTTACTTTGTTTTTATTATCTTCTGTTCTGTTCTACATCATACCCACACCACACTTTTTCATAAATAAATGTGAATATTTCTCATGATACAGTGTTGTTCCTGGATTCATTGGACCAGCTATCAGATGAAGATGATGGTCGAGATCTAAGATGGCTACCTGTCACATTACCAGAATACGTACACATTGTTGTCAGCACTAGACCATATGCAGGTGGTTGTCTGGCTGCATTACAGATTGCAATAACATCAAGAGAGCAGTACCTAGAGGTAAGTAACATTTAACGATCATAAAACCTAATCTTTGAGCACTGTTTGACTTTTCTGAATACGGGTAAGCAAGTTTATATAATGCGCAAATGCATAGACCACAGTTACAATTCGTAAACTATGCTTTGACATTGACCTGTTACAGCTGTGAGCGACAGTATTAAAATACTTCATTCTATTTTCAGTTCACCTTTCAAAAATTGATAATTACCAGTTTTTAAGAAAAAAATCATTCAGTGTTTTGCCGAAATCAATTCCAACAGATTATATTTCGACATTGATAAATCATTTCCACATTGCATTACCAGAATGCCTTTAGGTATTCTTGGGGAATTACATTGCATTCTGATTGGTTAATAATATACTTGACCTGTCAGATTAAAGGATGGTGTTGCAGGTACAATCATGTGAGAAACCATTATGGCGGTAATGACTTTGCATCGAGTTTGCATACAACCAAAAACTTTCAACGAAGCTAATGATGAATCTCTTGGCTTCAATCATTTTGTTTTCAAGTGGGGTGCTTGACTAAAGTATTTTATGATATCCTTGGTAGTCACTGACTTTTATTTGGATTCTAGGGAGTCACATTGACTTTCACAGAGGTCCTAGGGAGTCACTTTTTTCAGGGTCCATGGTTTAGCTGAACTTTTCTGCTTAATTTATGTTAAAATATTTGAATAATGAAGGTTATTTAAAAAAATACCAGGATTTATATTTTCATGTATCATATTTCATGTATTGTCTTCAATGTTATATGTCTTGGGCAGTACATTCTAATTAAGTCATAAATTCAGGTGTTAGCTTATATCTTTGTATATGATATATTCAGGGACTTTGTTGATGTGTCTATGATGCACTCAGTGCTTGTGTACATTCATGATTAACCATTATCGTACCTTTGTAATTAGGTGCAGCCATTAGCAGAAAGAGACCAGTCAAGCATGCTGGGTTCTCTTCTAAAAAATTCAAACAGGTGAATATAACTACTGTAGAATACTTTATTTTCG